TTAGGAAGAAATATAATATCCTATTTTTGGAGATTTCATGGAAGCATAATAAATATAAAGAAAAAATTTTATTTTTTTCTGAAATTTCCATTTTGTCATGGCAACGGGTACGCTAATTGGCCAAAAATGAGATGTTAATATTTATTCAAAATCGTCAGTATTGGCTGGCGGCGGGTTCGCTAAACATGGTATAAAAAGTCTCGCATTAGAAAAGAACTTTTTTACGGCCTGAACCTGATTATCTGTAATAATAAAATTAAGCATAAGTATAAAAGCAGTGTATGAAGATTTTGGAAGCTAACTGGAAACATCAATGTTTGGGTGCGGCCCTCAGTGTTGAGAAATAAGCATGTTCTAAATTGAAATACCCAAGTAAGTATACAGTACACTTAAACACATCACTCAGCAGGTAGAGTATCCAAACTTGTGTTTGAATCTTGATAGCGATAGTACATGCTTTAAAAAAAAAGGAAAAAAAAGACATTACTGTATTGGACAATTTAATGTAGTGGAGGTATTCCACTATCGAAGGTGTTATTTTGTAGTTTAGTATTACTGTAGGTAGAGTGCAGAATCTTGGCTTTATTCCTACTTTTCAATGACAATGTTACTTTTTTTTTTTCATAGTTATTGTTATTGTTTGAATGAACTGTACTAATTCATGGTCATAAGCATAAAAGCAATATTGTTTTAACTTTTAAAAAGACGGTTGGCTGTTAATAGCTAGGACAAATGTTGGAATAAAATTTGCTTGGTATAATTATTTGCATAATGCAATCTATGAACAAAGAATGATTGTATGTTGCATTATTTTGTTTTACTTTCTATACTGCAAAAAGTAATCTATCTATATGCTACCACATTGTGGCTGGCGTATAAAAGAATTATCAGTCTCTTCAATATAGTGACTTTTTGAGGTTGTCCCTAAATCTTTAGAGGCTCTGTATAGTCCAAGGTGAGTCATAATACTGGCGGGTGGAATCCTGTAAATTAAAAATCAAAACAAGTGAGTATTACATTTTTTTTATAGCATCATAGAAAAATAGGATATTCAGGTGAAGGCAACATACTGTATTCTAATAGTTCTAAAATGTATCCTTTTCTCCTTTTTATTCCCTAATCTTTTGTGTTCCTTTCCATAAATTTGCTTCTACAATATTGAATTCAAAGAGGTATTTCTTCCAGTTATGGGCTAATGTCACTTCCAGTGCACAAGTCAAATAGTCAAGGTGTGGCATCTTTATTTTAAACAATTTGTTATTAGTTTTGTTTTAAGTTCAATTTCTTTTTTTATTTTGGTTTTCTTTTATTCTTTTTACTTGTGAGCCACTTGTGATACCAGTGCTTCGTCACTGAAAGTGTAATCACACATAAGACAAAAATAAATAAAAAAATAAATATTCTCACTCCAGGTTAAAATTGTTCTTGACGATTGCCAAATAAATATTATTATTTATATTAAATCCCAACTTGTGCTTAGTAATGTTATTATGTAGTATTACTAAATTTGGCACTTTATGGTTTATTAATATTAACAGTTATTGCTGATGACTACACCTTGCAATCCTAGACGAGTGACTTTAAAATTATATCTCAATATACTGTAATAATTTTCAAGAAACACCAGATTTGCTTTGATCTGTCAACCATTCACCCTTGAACTTGCTAAATGCAGAACCTCCACTTTTTGAAATTTATTTGTTTTGTAGTTCAGCTTCTATTTGGAATACTTTGTTAGCTGATGTTTTCCAGTTCCCTTTCATCTTGCATGCCAACCATTTTCTTTTTAATAACTACACCCTAACCCCTATATCTTGAGTGGCCCTTGGCCATGTTTGGAGTGACTGAATTAAAAAAAAGAAAAATAAACATCAAACAGTGATTTTGGGTGGATACTGTATCTCTTCTAAAAGTGTGGCTGTATCATTTGCTGAACACTAACTTCATTAATGAATTGTGTTAATAATTAACACAAAGTGAAATCAATATTTAATGCCTGAAACATTTTAATGATTAATTTTAATTGCTTTAGCTGTTGTCTGTTCAATATTGTCAGTAACTAGTGAGGAAAGATGCATTGTAGGAAGATAAAAGGTACGTCAGGTAGGAAATAATGTTAGGAAATATGTCAGTATTATATCGGATAAGGAAAACTGTTTACGTTGGTATTATATCGGGTAAGAAAAACTGTTTGCGTGTATCGCGGTACAACTTGCAAAAGTCTAACAAGTTTGTTGCTGCATAAAGATTTAGGAATTTATTTTCCGTCACAACTACGCTAAAAAAAAACTCATTCCCATTCCTGTGTGCATGTTTTAAGTTAAGTGCAGACAAAGTTATGATTCAAGAGCTTTAAATGTCTTCAGGTATAAATTAAGAATGCACGCCATAGTACTGTAATAGTGTACACACGGCATATTTGAGCACTACATGGCATTCCGGATAATTCTCAAATAAATTGCACAGAAATACTTGTGACCAACTTTTTGATCAGTTTCGGTACTATTCAAATATTGTACTTCGTTACACCTTCACTAGAATTTATGTACGGTACTTCTCATATTCATGTTGGTCACAGAACCTGTATTCCAAATACTGCTTCAAGCTTGTCAACCATGTCTTTAACATGTACTATGAAATTGACTTTGGATCTGCTCATCTCTCCGGCTCATACCTAAAAAGTATGAAATTTGCTGTTCATTGTAAACCAACATCTGGTTCCGAGCATTGTTCTATAGTAGGCCAAGTAGTTTATAGAAAACTCAACTGAGGTGCCTAGCATTCTTCTTATCAGACCAGCTCAGCTCCACCAATTGGGGCTGGTTATCTCACTTCTATGCCTGAAAGTGGCATTCTTCAGATAGCTGTTTTTAGCTTAGAAAATGATTCTAATTACTACAGTATATTTAGTTTCCCTGATGGTGGTGTAGGGTGTCCCCGATGCCTGAGCCCCTTGACCAAGGCAGTTGTTGTATTGCCTTGCTAGCATGCTTACAGTAGACTGGATGAAGCATGTAATGAATCAAACATTAATTATTATTGCCTCTGGCTAAGCTCGCTTGCTTTCTACTCTTCTCAAAAAATTTTTTGGTTGGACATTTTGTGGATAATCCAGATAATTTAGTAAGTGCATGTAAATACTACAACAACACTGTAAAAGTGTGTACCTCACACACCCAAACATGTACCATACTCTTGTGCTTGAATGGAGCACACTCTTCTTGCATATCATGTGCATACCCATCTGGTAAAATTTACCAGGCACAAAATACATATTAACTAATTAAACTGGAATATTGACTCCCTATAGCTCACAACATTCTCTTTATTTCAATCTTCTATTATTTGTAGTATTGTCTGTTTCGCCTGTGTAAAGTTTAATAATAAAAAAATATAAAATGAATTACAGTATTCATACACACACTTACTAAATACTGTATACAGTTAACCTCTTTTACAACCCCTATAATATTATAACCTCAGCAATCTCTCCCATCCTTCACAAATGATTATCTCATCTGTAGCCTACAATTTCTCCGAATAATAGGGGGAATATTATAGTAATTATGTATGTGTGGAATGTGACTGAGGGTGATAAGAGGTTTGTTGATGTTTGGGGACTTGCAGATAATGTAGCAATTATGGGATTAGCTAATGTCAGATAAATGTCATCCTTAAGTGCATAAAGCCATTGTGTACTTAGCACATTATGCACTTAAAAGCATTGGCTTTGATTTAGACCAACATGTATCAGGCATTCTATTTATAATTGTAAACATACTGTAAATCATTATGTTCATTAGTATTAACTTTGGGTTATAAAAAAATTTCCCCAAAGTTTATAAAAAAATGGCTTAATGGCCTTGTGTACTGTATGTACCGATGTTCATGTAGGGACTACTGTAGTTCCAATCACAATCATCATCACGATCATCTCCATAATCATAATATCATTTATATTCATTATCATAGATCATCATCATGATTGTCATCATTATCATCACCATCATCATTAAATTGAGATGAGAATTGCCCATGTTTTTTGTCGAAATGGTACAGCATAAACATTTTAAAATGAACAACAAATCTCCAAAAATATACAAAATATAATAATATATACAATGACCAATGGGCATGTGATGTGAAAAATGATTAATGATTTAATGGTTTAACATCATGAGAGTAAGTGGGGGTGTTGATTTATACTCTCATGTATAACTGATCATTGTATACAGTACACCATGGTATTTCCAGTTAATAGATACATTATAGTGACAGTGATATCCTTATCCTGTTACCAGGACAACTGTTCCTGTTACCATGGATGCTGTTACTAGCCACACATACCTAAGTTTAGATATCTACCTACACATGACCTCCACCAGAATTAGAAAGGTCAACTGCTGTGGACAACATAGTGTCTACTGCACTCTGTGGGGGCAGTAGACACAAAAATTAAATGTTGGTAACAAAACAAGGATAATTTATACATTGATAAATATACAGCAGTATTTAAAATTGTTTCACGTTCATGTCTATGGTCTGGATATCATTATGCCATCTGCTATAATTTTTCACTAATTAGACAGCCGTTGGTATCTGGTTATACCAGCGAGCGTCGTCATGTGGTAGATATTCAATAGAGTGGTAGGAGTAGTGCCTATTTCTGTTGTGTGTGTCTATAGGGAAGATGTAGTGTGGATTGCTTCATGTAAAAGATTGCATCAAATTGTCACTCAGTTAGCATGTGTCTATGTCATGGGTAAGTTGTAATCTAAAGTCAGGCTTATCTTTACTGCGATGACCTTCTCCAACTCTCAGCAGGATTGTTTATCTGTTTTTCAAACAGCACATAAAAAGCGTGCCAGCTAAAAGCATTGCTATTTGAGGTAACTATATACAGAGAGCATGGCCATCAAGCCAACCAGTAGAATTTTACTGTTGTATATGAATAATATTTAAGAGGTTTTGAGTAGAGAAACTCGTAAAACAAGACATAAAGCATGGGAGGCTACTGTAGCATATGAATCAGCATGGAGAGAGCAACTACAGGGCAACGATAGTAATAAAAAGCATTAATGATAACATTAGAACAAATGTTACTCTGTTGTCAAGGCTGTTGAACCAGGATGTTGATATGTAAATGGATGAAATTAATCAGGATTTACATACTGCAAAATGAGTGTGTTCTGATTGTGTTTTGATTTTGAAGCTGTGCTCATCTCTGCCACCCCCTGTGTTGGGTCCTCTTGTTTTAATTGTTATCATTTGATTGGTTGACTTGGAATGCTTGAATGGTTTGGTCACTGTGCTTACCATTTCAAATGCTCGTGTTTGTATGATTCACATCCAATTGATCGTGCTTAGATTGTGACATTGATATGCTGCACTGTGGAGCCGTGTTTTCTTGCATACTAAATTGATCCATCTCTATTTATTTTCGAAACTATTTTGGTTTTGAATTTATTATTAGACATTTCTGGTCGATTTTTGACTTTCCGTTGTATTTGTATAAGTAATGATAGTGTATAGGACCTGGATATGTTTTATATTTAATAGCAATCCATACGGATTCCTATTTTGAAAAGCCTATTCATAGCCTATAACCTAGATATCAGTTTTATGCAAGATCACTTGGGATTATTCATCGGAGCCTGTACATCCGTACGGATACCTTTAGGAAAAGCGTTGATGTCTAAACTACAGTAACTACAATTAATGCATTGAATATTTGCAAATATACTCGGACACATTCGGTAGGTGAAAGAAGAATGATTAGCTACAGTACTGCAGATTGGTCATGTCTACGCATGATTAATTGGTTCGACACCCAATCACGCCGGTCAATTTAACACAAGGAGAATGCTTACGAATAAACTGGTTACCAATGACGGTATTTGAATTCATTTAAGTTGACACTTGATTCCCATCAGACGGGATGTTGCAGTTGCGATTTCTATCCAAGTTAATTATGATCGTAACAACTAAAGATCCATCTTGTTAGATACCAACAAGACTTCCTCTTCATATTTTTTCATTTGTGTTTCAATAGCTGATTTTGCATCAGTTTTAAAAACATCTAGTTAATGAAGATTTTTTTTTTATAATCAGCAAGCTTTTTACAAACACCTAACTGTTCGCACTTGTATCTTCTCAATTTACTGATGTCTTATCGTTAACTATCTGTTTAGCGTGAATTATGAAGTCATGGTTTATTGGATCTCATATCTGAAATTCTGTTTTGTACGAGACTTCTGATTTCAAATTAAGGATTTTGTCTTGGGATTTTCTTGGAAAATACGTTTTTGGTTATTATTGGAACATGTTTAAATCAGCGCATCAAAAGCTAGAAGGCACGCCACGAGGGCGATCAAAGAGTGTAGTTCCCACACTGAGCACGGGTAAGAATTTTAAAATGATATTTACTGAACCGTTTACCTATCTCATTCCCTGGTCTCTATGGAAGAGTCTAGTATTTATCCTTGATTATGTTCCAAGTACAAACTGTACAATAATTGGCAATTTAGTAGCATCAATTTGGTATGATCTCTTGCAGAGCAGTATGAATTACAAAATCGTTACCTTTCTGATGTATTTAATTTTATGTAAGCAATGTATTAATGCCTATATCTTTGCTTGATGATATGCCGTTCTGAGCAACTCGTTTTTATTTATGCTAAAATTTAGATCGGATTCATTCCGGAATGAATCTTTCACATTTATGCTACTGTACTGCTGCGAGCCAGTTTAAAACATGTCTTATTCCTGGACTGCGTTTATATTGAAAGTGTTTTCTTAATAACCTATAACATAAATTTTTTTAAAATTACATAATATTAATATTATTATCTCTATTACTATTTTTGTAAACCCTTTTTTATTTATATTTTGTTCTACCGCAGTATTTTCTTACTATATTTAATCACAGTAATCAAGTTCTTACTGATTTTGTTATTGTTGCACATATTTACGGTTGTGCCTCTGTTATAAAAGAGAAGCAATAAAGTAAGTTACTTACTTTCTTAAAGCAACAATCTATTTATGAAACTTAGATTATTAATTTCCTTAAAATTTTAATTAAACTATAAATAGATAAGGAAATAGAAACAATAATATGTTGATATCATCATGACTATATTTAGTCATGTCACATATTTTTGTCAAATATAATTTGATAGTCTGGGCAGGGTTTTAGAAAAAATTGTTTAAATCCTCAGGAGAATAAACTGCTGCAAATGAGATGGATGTCTTTATCTTGATTACTATTTTTGCCCTTGTGTAATAAATAGCCCTACTTTATGAAAACATTATTGAACAATCATCAGAAAACATGGTACCTTGTAAACTGTAATAAATTACTCAGCACATTTTGCCTTAATATAAGTGCATACTGTAATTACAGTGAAATGATGAATTCAAGGTCATATTTTAACCATCTTCTTTACTGTAGTATGTATTATTCCTAGAAGGAGTTTATTTATGTTCTAAAAGTATTTTTAATAACTAATATAATATTAAAATGAGCAACTTCCTTTAAAAGTGCTTTGTACCTGTAGTAAATCACCAGCTCATTTTGCCTAGATTAAAATGCATAATTATTGGTGATACCATGTGATACCAAATTCTTTCTAAAATTACAGTCACCAATTTTCAGTATTTTAACATTGCAGACAAATTCTTGGATATTTTTGTAATGATACTATTTTTGTTCTTGTATACTATATATGCATTTTAAAAAAATAGGAATTTTGATGAAACTACAGTGTATTTCAATGTATACATCAACATATTTTATCCATTTCTTTCCTAGAAAATACATCACCAGAAAAGTACATATTTACTATTAATATTTGCATTGCAGTAACAATGTGATTACGTAGGCTACATACCAACTTATCCACATGGGTCATGCTACTATTGAATGCTTCTGTACAGTAGGTCCAATGTATGCTATTAATGTGACAGAACAGATGCCAACCTCCTGTGAGATTAATAATAATAATAATACAAACTTTTATTTCATCCCGGTAAACAATTAATCAACTCAGTGGTGTTTTTCATCAATGCCATAACAGACATAATAATCAAACTTAACTAATGTTAAACAAAGATTAATATTAAACAGAAAATAGAAGGAAAATAAAACCAAATCAGAAAACAAAGATTAAAACATCAAAATACAAAATACGATAAATTGTAATACATAAAAATGTGCTAATCTAAGATAATAGGTTGAGTTGCTTATTAGGCTACTGATAGCCTTTAAAAAACAAAATATAGCTTAACCATTTAATTAAATTTAAGCATATCTATAAAAATATTTAAATGCCTTTTAATTTACATTTAATGTTAGAAAGAGTAATTGAAGTTTCACTTAGTTCATTCCATAATTTTTTCAACCTTAGAAGCACTTTGAGGTTCAACTAAATTCAGTGGACAGCTGAGAATACTGTGTGATATTTTTGTTAATCTGTTGGGTAAATGAACAAAAAGTCAAATATTGTTTAAGCACCTCATAAAATCTCTTTTTCTCTGTTTTCATTTAATTTAAAAAAAAAAAATTTAATATTTCTTAGTATTTATGTGTGAAATTTAATTTATTTTTTTGGTTTTCTTTTGAAATTTCAGTGCTTGGCTCAGAAGAACAGAATGAGTTTTTTCAACGAGAAACACTTCGAGGTTCAACTAAATTCAATGGACAGCGGAGTAGGGTAAGTTTTTTGTCTTATCTAAGCTACTAATACTTTACATTTAATATTCCCAAACCAATATCATTAGGCTTATACAGAAAAGTTTTCTGAAAAATATTGATTATGTTATACCACAAGTTCATTTGGTTGAGGTACATGGAGTACTATATTGCAATACTGTAAGTTCCCAAATCTGATGTCAGAATAATCTCAGAGTTGTGTTTTTTTGAAAAAAACAAAAAAAACAAAAAAAAAAACTTGTTGAAATAAAACAGCTTCTCAAGATGCTGGGATTTACCAGTTAAAGCTCTCTTTGATTAGATTCTTGATTTATCTCTCAATCGTTTTATCTATATTTCTGGGAAAATGTGTAGGATAAGCCAGGACTTATTCTGTATCCTTTGTTCTAATTTAGCTTCCCACATGCTTTTTCGAGTGTATACGTTTACATCAATTACTAATTGACAACTTGATGGTTGAAATGATTGTTGTTTCATATCCACTTACTCTATAAAAATGTTACTCTTTTCGGAAAGAGAATATTTCCTGTCAATATTGTATTTATCCATTAGACTAGGCTTTGAAATGTCAAATATTTAGTGCTGTTTAGTGTATATTTACTTTTTATGTTCCTTTGTTACTTGACATTTTATAAGCTGTCTGTGTATAATTGAAGTATAATTATTGTAGGTGGAAGAGAGAATTATGTTATGAAGTTTAATAGTACATAAGTTATGAAGTATGAAAATTAATTGATAAAGCTCTGAAGGGAATAAGCGCCGCTCTTAATATGTGTGCCATACCAAATGTGGTTTTTTTCCCCTAAGCACTGCTCTCAAGTAAGTGCCAATGCCACTTAACTACGAAAATAGTTAATATGTGTGTCAAAAATGAATCTAAGCCTACCTATATATTGTCAAAATCTATATTCTCTAAATAAAAATCTGTGTCATAGACTAATATGACCATGGCTGAAAAGCATAAATTGATGGTAGTACTGTAGAGATAAGATGAACATTTTTTCTCCCATTCCTGTTTATAACCATGAACCCCGTCTTTAGAAACCACTTTACCACTTTAGGCCAAATAAAAAAATTACTAGTTTCTCGTCCATTTTTTCTGGCTCACAATTTTTTTGTCTACGGTATCCTTCATTTTACAAAATGTAAGACGATCTGGCTAACTCACAGATCAGTAAAATTTCTCTTTCGATCATTCGTGGTTGGGGATACACATGTGGCAAAGACAAGCCAATAATTTGTAGCTAGAAAAGGAACGATCCAATTTTCGATGACTCTAGGTCTGATAAACTATAGAATTACGAATGTTTCGAGTATTTTGATAAAATGTTTGGGTTTAATAAAATACAGCTTGAAATTAGTGGAAAAGCTTGAGATTTTAGGTGAGTGGCTTGAGAGCTTGAGGTTTGGTCGAAAAGCGTGAGGCTCACGCCGGATGTGTCAGACTTGGTACAGTAGGTATGTATCCTCCACTAAATTTAGTACAATCTATGCATGAATTCATCCTTTGACCACATTGGACCCTAGGGCCTAGGTGGCCCTTTAATTTTGACCCTCATTTGCATTGCCAATCCCCTTGTTTTTTGGACCTGAGCCTGTCTGGCCTTGCCATTTGCTATGATAATAATAATAATTTATTTGGATCTGCACTTTTTCGTCAGTATCGCACTTCTTAATTGATGGTACTGTACGTCCAGAACAATCAATGAAAAGCAAAGTAAACAGAGGGAACTTTGACTAAATTAAAACAAAGTTCAGATCAAATATAGGAATAGTAAACCTAGTATATGATTAGCCTGGTAAAATTAACTACATTGTCATCTTAAACTAAAAACTTATTGCTAAAAAATGTATACATACACACACATTTATATGCCTATACACATAAATAATGCACATGAGTATAATCATGAAAAACATATAACATACAGTATATGGAAAATACAAAAAAAAAACAACTTATTGCTGAAAAATGTATACATACACACATTTATATGCCTATACACATAAATAATGCACATGAGCATAATCATGTAAAACATATAACATACTGTATATGGAAAATCCAAAAAAAAAGTGTATATCAATACATACACACACAACACTTCATAAACCTACACAAATACATTAAAAGAATGCATATACACAAATATGTAATAAAAGAAATCTAAACTAAAGTAGTCATACACAGTAATTTTGAACTGAAGTTAAAAATGTTCATTTTCTTTTTTGATTTCATTTCTCTTTTTCCAGGCCCTTATAGTAGCGTAACTTTTCCAATATCTGTGAATTTTTTTTTTTTTCAAATTGACATTTATTAATTGCAATAGATTTATCTATTTGTCATAATTAGGTCTCATCCATTACAGTCATAACACCAGAATTATCACAGCTTAGTTTGGTAGTCTTTGTCAGTATGATATTAAATATGGACCCTGGGAATAGTGTCCCAGGTTCCATTTGTAAGTGTAGCCAAAGCAAGTTTTTATTGGGTCCAAAATATTGGATCCAATCAATCAATAAAGCTCATGACATTTATAGTGCCAATAGCATAATTAATCGTTTAGTGGTGCTAAGGACAATTGAAATTATCAATTTATACAAAGTTTTAAAGGATATTTTTAATTTTTTAGGCAATGAGAATATGGAGATTAAGCTAACAATAGAAGCATGTGTTTTATTTTAAATTTAAATCACCCCAAACAAGGTCCACAAGCCAGTTCTAGGTAAGGGGTTACTTGTAACTTAATTACTATACTGTATTTATATGCCATGAAATGCTTGTACCTACTGTGTGGCTGAAACATAGCTTAAGCAACTTCACAGCCTGTCAACAGTGTTTGGTATATCTACACTAAGAGAAAAATATTACCATATAGGTTTGAATCTACAGTAAGACCTCCCCTTTTCTTTTGCAAAAAAACAGTCTACTTGTAAACCAAATTATGAAAATTACCTTAAAATAATCCTGTATACTGTCTGTTATATTTGATCGAAAGGAAATCAGGGAAAACTCTTAAAAAGGTAAATAGACACATTGAATGAATGGCTTAAAGTATAATAACTTTCAGTGAGGTTGTGAGTTACTGTAGGTCAGTAGGGTTGTAGCTGTAGAGAACTAAGCGTGGGTGATAGACATAGTTTCTGCACTATTAAAATCGAAATGGTACTGGGTTTGGTCTGCAGGAGATTTGTACAGGTCATTCCATTCATAGAAGAAGCCTTTTAATGGTGAAAGCTTGCTTTCAAGTTTGCGGAAAACCTCAAGGCTGGTTGGCCCCCGCCCACCTCCGCCCATCATAACTATATCCCAGGGTTGCTGATTGCCTACAGAAGTTCTTTAAAATTCAATCATTATTTAATTGCTCCTTTTTTTAAAGGATCCTCCTAGTAAGTTATCAACTGTGTATGAATAACATTGAAACATATGACTATACACTATACACTGATGAAACATATGACTATATACTATACACTGATGAAACATATGACTGTACACTATACACTGATGAAACATATGACTGTACACTATACACTGATGAAACATATGACTATACACTATACACTGATGAAACATATGGCTACACTATACACTGATGAAACATATGACTGTACACTATACACTGATGAAACATATGACTGTACACTATACACTGATGAAACATGTGACTGTACACTATATGCTGATGAAACATGATTATACACTATACACTGATGAAACATGACTATACACTATACACTGATGAAACATATGACTGTACACTATACACTGATGAAACATGTGACTACACTATACACTGATGAAACATATGACTATACACATACACTGATGAAACATATGACTATACACTATACACTGATGAAACATATGACTATACACTATACACTGATGAAACATATGACTATACACTATACACTGATGAAACATATGAATATACACTATACACTGATGAAACAAGTCAGTTTTTATTGATTAATAAGCCTTCTGAACACAAACATTCTTAAATAAATTAACTCATAAAATATGAAAACCTAATTAATTTAAAACTTGTAATATAATCAACTTCCAGTAAGGCGTGATCTCCAAATTATTCCAGTAAAGGTTTTACTGACAACTCGTGATATTACTGTAATTTATTTATTCAACTGAACATATACTTTTGTTTCAGCGGCACACACACGTTTGGTGTGTTCAATGTATAAAAGAGAGAAAGAAAAACAACTAAAAATAAGTAATTGTAAAAAAAAAAATAAAAAAATGTTGTACCCCGTTTGAAAATGAACAATTCTAAATTGCTCAGTACTCTACTTGTTTGCACACGTGGTTCTGGGCCCTGCTCTCTGCACCCAAGGCTCGACCTCAAGATCTCTGCAGTTTTATTTGAAAGAGGACTCTGTACTTCGATCAGTTAAATAATAAATAAAATCTAAAGTTCATGATTTGTTGTTCATATGATAAGTAATTTTACTAGTCAACCAAATATACAGTACATCTCTCGATTCGGAGGGACTGATTATAATGTTCAAATTGTTAGTACATGTCGGTAATTACCCCATCTATTGGATTCCGTAAAAAAACCTGAAACCGGGAGATCTCTGTGTTTGGCGGTCAAGCATTGTGTTACCAAACACGGAGATCTCCTTGTTTGGTGGGCAGAGTGTTAATTGGAGGTTGTTGTTAATTGGAGGAGTCTTTAATTTTAGGGAGACCTATATAACAGTGTCTATATTCTTTTGTATAGACTAGCAGCTGTCTCTTATACACATCTAGATGTGTATAAGAGACAGCATGTGTACAATAAAACTATTTAGCTTTGATATACATACAGTAGAGCAACTGTGATGGGATAGGTGGAACTGCGAAAAGGCTGGTAGCAAGGTGACTTCCGTGGCCACGTTGAATTGGCATGGAATGACCCCATGGCACTTCAAGTATATTTGAAGTATGTTTGTGATTTGTAATGCCAATGTACCCTCCTTCACTTTTGCAAAGAAAACGGCAGTGCTATTTTTAGAGCCTCAACGTAGTTCTATCTACAGAGGGGCGTACAAAGCGAATTCCAATGGAACTCGCTTAGTGCATACTGTGCCCTGAACCTCAAGGCACGTTGTCGTTGTGTAATTTACAAATCTTCATATAAGCATAAAGTATATCCACATGTACGTACAGTATAAGAAAGAATAGGAGCTGCATAATAATATTTTTTTGAAACGTCAGTATTTCTGGGCGAGTTGACCGTGCTGGTAGTACAGCAGTTGTAGTAAACAATAGAAAATCGTTCAAACGATCAACAAGTGTGAAAACGATTAACCGTCGTCCATACGCGAGCCGTAATTCAAGCGTGTAGCAAATGAATATTCATATAGCGTGGTAATAGAGTGGTTGATTTCTCAGACACGTTCGTGATAGGGTGTTGACCTAGACATGTTTTTGCCGTCTGGGATAATTTACAGATCGCGCCTAAGGCATGGAATGAAATCATTCAGTTTTTATTAGAAAGTTCTTCAAATTGGCTACCTAATATTTAAACAGTATTTTTATGCACTTGGTGAGGAAATATTTGTTTATCCTCTAATTTTTGACTATTGTCTTGTCTGCATTCAAGATACCACACAGAGAATATATGTCTTTAAAGTGCGCAATTTATCGTTCAATACTTCTTGAGGTCTGCATTTGTAATTCGATAAGAATATGAGTGGAAAGACAATGAAGCATAATTTCACTTTCTTTACCAAAATCATAGTTGTTAATAAACATTACATCAAGGTAGGTTGTGATGCAACCACTCCAATATCAGACCATCATTGTCATGATTGATTGCATGTCTGCCTGATATTATGTGTCATAATATTGATTGGAAGGGTCATGTACATTAAGGAGACTGTCTAGTAATTCACATCTTCCAATAATTATAGGCTTTTCACAACTAATTAATGGGCTCCTCAGGATGTCAGCAATAAACAGGCTTTTCAAAGTATTCATATCAAGCTCCATAGGCTATCACAGCCAATTGCAGAATGAGTAACTTAGGATTTTTACATTAAAGAGGCTGATCAGTACATTCACAACATATAATCTATACCAGAGGTGGGCATAAAAATTGGTCGGAGGCCCAAAGTGAATTTCTGATTTAACACCGAGGGCCACACCCAAACTTTCTAGTGCGCTTCTAAAAACCTCCAAGCACTGCTTTTTACGCCTAACTTAAACAATTGTTTGGCCCTTTAAACAAATTAATTATGAATCAAGAGCCTATACTGATGTTCACATTGGGTTCAGGAAAGACAATTCCATTTGATGTAAAGTTTATTGCTCAAAATGTGTCGAAATCATTTATTTTGAAACTACTGTAATTTTTGTAATACAATGAAAAAATGAAGTGTCTCCTTAATAGGGGTGGAATATATAGATTTCATCTGTATACCATGTATTGAACATTAAGTCCACTTTTGGGATCAGGGTTTCCATGTTTTTTAACAGCTTATGGTCTGTAATTAGAATAGTAAAGATAAAAGGCATTTGTAAATAGGGGACCAGAAAATTGCTCTTTAATACTCTGACTGCCAGGGTTAAAAAAGTAGTATCAGCCACCGCCAGACTTGTTAGCAAATTTTAACACTTTTCCGAAGCTCGTTGAGAGTGCGTATGTGATCAGATTGACATGTAGTGAATACTACAAGAACTACAAACATTTTAGCTTTACAATGGTACCAAATGTTTTATTCTAATCACAATCTGTGATCCGTAACACTAAAAGGAAATGACTCACTTTTAGAGATTTACGCAATTTCGCACAACGAAGCTGAGATAATCGCGATTTTGTGAAAGCAAGTCCATACCGCTCTACACTAAACAAACAAACAAATTGTGAAATACTTACGGTCCAGACTGATTATAATGTTCAAATTGTTAGTACATGTCGGTAATTACCCCATCTATTGGATTCCGTAAAAAAACCTGAAACCGGGAGATCTCTGTGTTTGGCGGTCAAGCATTGTGTTACCAAACACGGAGATCTCCTTGTTTGGTGGGCAGAGTGTTAATTGGAGGAGTCTTTAATTTTAGGGAGACCTATATATTAACAGTGTCTATATTCTTTTGTATAGACTAGCAGAGTCTGGTATTCAGCTTAAGGGTTTTCATAGTAATATGTCTGTGATGTATATCAGTAAAGTCACATTTCTCATTTATTTGATCCTTTTAACAAAGTGAGCATATTATTTCCAGATTCGATCGCAGACTATCTTTAAAGAAGGATGTGGTGAATTTGATTTGCATTTATGCAATTTATATGAATTGTGTTTTTTGTCCCTTAGTCCGAAGGAAAGCTGGCTTTGGCAGTTGATGCCCATGCAGCTAGTAGTGCACCCTCATCGGCAAAAATCTCAAAACGAGAGTCACTCAAAGTTCAGAAGAAGAACTATAAACGAGAAAAGAAGCGTGTTACTAAGGAGTTATTGAGCACTCTGTCAGATCCAGCCATAGTTGTCATGGCTGATTTCTTAAAGGTATGTTTTAAGCAAATTTAATTAGAAGTCATCTAATATAATTTTTCTTTATCTTTATTTTCTCTCTCACATAAGTTGTCGCGAGCAGCCAATTCATATTCTTGACAGCAATTTGACCTCTGAAAGGTCATTGTTTGTCAAAAAACCTGCGCCTAAGACAACTGAAAAGCGGAGTTTCCTTCTTTCGTTCTGCCGGGTAAAATCAATTATTTTAGGCGACGTTTGTAGACTAACCTACTCGTACCAACGTCCGCATGTCGCAACGCTGGAGTACTATTCAGCGTTTTTACTATATTTCTAGGTTTCCTATTTCTACGTTTAATCGGCTCATGTCTCAAGCCACAATATTTTGAGGCCAATATTATACGAACCCAGTTAAAATTATTTACTAGCCTATTTCAACGTGCTAATTATTACATTTAGGCGACGCTTGTTGTAGACTGCCATAGTGTTTTCGGAAATAAATACCATTTTATACACATGCGCAGATCGATTCGCCAGCAGCGAGTCATCGGCCAGCAGCAGCGAGTCGCCGGCAGCGAGATGTCACTGCAGCAAAACACTATTGTACACGGTACCAACGCTGTTCTAATATAGACAATGGGTCGTGCTCATATTATTTGTTATATTTTTATTATTCATTATTTTCACTTGACTCGAATAAATAATTTTGTTCGAAGAACATTTTATGCAGTTTTACTTCGCAGCACTTCACTTGCAATTTGCAATTTCTAGTTTAGCTTGTAATTTGAATTCTTGCTGCAATGGATTTGTTTTTAGTCCCTTTTAAGATAAAAACATACAAAGAGCATTGTACAAATGCAGTAATAATAATTATTTTTGTTGTAATAAAGAGAGTATACACAATTGGAACTACGATATGTAAAATTATTGATCCCATTAATACCAATGCAATCAACAATAATAAAAATTCATTTTTGTATCATAATGGAAGTCTTGTTTCAGATTTCCTGAGAATCAATAGACAACCTAATCAAATATTTCCAAAATACGAAATTATTTTTATTAACATTTTCATATTTCAAGGTGAATTGGTCATTAGAATTAAAGTTCATTCCTGTTGTAGTTATTTTACAGGGTGTTGTGACAGAAATGATTCGTGTTGTAAGCTAGCTCAAATTAATGTCTTCAAAAATACATGAATTCATATTTTGACCTAAATGAGGTTTCAGTGTTTCAGACAGGCTTAATAAAGATTTCATGAAAGCAAATGTTCTCAGTTGATTTATGTACATTAAATATGGATTCGAGGTACATTTTCTAAGACTGTATTTTCCAAATTGATAAACAACAAGAAAGTTATCAGTTCTTTATCTTTGTAGGCAATTTTCTAAAAAGTATGTTTTCATATTCTAAATGATTATACTCGGGATCTACTTAACCTAGGAGCTTAAAAGACCAAATTAAAGCTTTACGAAAAAAAAAATCATGTTTGCCACCAAAGGACTAATTTTGTGATGACACTTCACATTTATGGAACTGTTTTCCACATAACATGAGGTCCGGTTCACGCCAGATTACAAGCAACTTTAAAAACATCTGTTCTAGTACACTTTTGTTAGGCTCCAAAATTATTTGTGTATACCAGTTACAATAAATATTAAATCTTAGTTATGGCAAAGCATCACTCAGTTGGAAGATACCGGATCTTATTTTTTTTACATTATATTATCATTTTGAGCTGATTAGATGTTTGCCTCCCATTCTAAAGCCTTCCAATGTATGCAAATACTATATTTACTTTAAATTTCTGGTAATAACAACACTTCCTGAGCCTTAATTGAACGGTTATTCCATTCTCTATTGACGAGTTAATGTAACTGTTATTGTTGGATGTTGAAGGATTACATGTCTGTCTACAATGGACTTATCTTTTGCCTGGTTATTTTTTTTTTTTTTCAATCATCATAAGTGTTTTTTTATAAGTACTTATTAATGAAACACTTAAATTAATGGTTTAGTTTTGACAGAAAAAAACTAGCTGTCAGCTAATCTTAAGACCTGAATCAACAATGTGTTGAAAATTTAAATGTGAAGTGTTGTGGCAAGAAATAGCCTGTTTAAAGGCAGTAAAGAAGGTGGAAACAAGATGATGGACTGAGTGAATTCATAGATTTCTAAGAAATACTTAGTGGTGGATCCATGAATTTGAAATACAGCGAAGGGGCCCCAAGGATGGACGTTCATATGGAAGGTCTAGACCACTTCAGCCCAACCAGGGTGGGGGCTGAGGTAAGAAAATGATGTTTATGGCACCACTAGATGGTTGGAAATGGCACTCTCAGACTTCAATTGAAATATAATTTTCTTTTTTCAATATCCTGAATAGTGTATACTGTCAACGTTAGGTTTTATGACTTATATCTTCAGTAGTTCAAATCAGTGTGGCATAGATAATACATAAAGTTATATAAGAAGAGTTCTGTAAGATGCCAATAGCATGCATATTTTTGCTTTCAAAATCACCACAGTAGTAAATCCATGACAAGCCAAGTTTTGTTAGACTAGTAAAGTACATCTTGAAAATATTTGCATATTCATAAGGTCATCACGCATTTTGCTTCCAAAGAAGAAAATAATTACGTTATGAGCCATGTCTGGATATTTCATCAATCTTCAACATTTTTTAAGTATTTATTAATAAGCACTTAACATAATGGCAAATCGCTTTATTAATCATTTAGTTTTAACGGACAATTAACTATCTGCCACTGCTTAAGACTTAATGTATTGAAATGTTTTAAGTGAAGCATTATTGCAAGTTCAGTAAAAAAGTCTAAACAAGATGTAGTGTGGTTATTTAAGTGAATTATGTATTAATAATAGACTTATTATATAGGCAAAGTGTAGCAGGATAAAGGACTGCTGAGGGTGCAGTACTTAGGCAAATAAGGTCGTGTTAAGATTTTGAAGAAATGAATAAAATTTCTTCTGTTTGGGTGATTTTACTTTAGTCTCTGATTTTCCTTTCACCTTTGCTTTATTTTTTGATGTCTAGATGTGAGATGATGACACTTAACAATAAATGATGATGATAATGATAATAATAATAATAATAATAAAACCATATTTACATAACAATAATAATAGTATTTATTTGGCAAAAGTATACAAAATGAAATAACATGGATTGCCGAGATAGGGAATCCTTCAAAGAAAAACACTAGTACAAGAAACAGTCAGAAGAATTAATCAGAAACATAAAAAGATATAAAATGCTTATTACTAAATTATCCTAAAAGAGGAAACATTAACAGAGTTTTGAAGTAGAGAAGGCAGTTCTTCCCAGAGTCTGGGAAAGGACACAAATGCAGAATTGAGAAAAGCATTGCTTTTGGCTTTCCAGTGAATAAGCCTGCCCTCACAACGCTCACTGTTTTGTACAAACCCTGTTAAGTAGGGGAACACAAATTATAGAGAACCTTAAAACCAAGAATAAGCCGGTGATATTTGAAAATATTTTTCTATGCTCAATGGATCACAGATCCCTCTAGACACTTTACATGCAGTAAGTCTTCAACTATGGTCAAAAACTATCCCCCACCGACACCAACCCGTATTTCTGAGTTTGGTAATTCCTCCATGCCCTGTGTCATGACCATGGGTTTCAAATGCTGTTTAATAGTACAGTAATTATAATAATACACTGTATAAATGAAATAGTGGCAAACCTCACAGTGGCTTATATCTTGCTATAATAATAATAATATGTCGTTCTTATATAGCGATTCATGCACAAAGCCTCTAAGCACTTCAAGTTACTACCCTGGTCATTGGATCAAACACATATGGAACACATGCTCAACACCAAATTAAATTATTAAATTAAATTATATTATTATTCCATAATATTGCAGGTAGTAATCAGCGCAGTTGTGTAGGAACCTACTAGGTACCCACTTGTACTCCTGGGTGGAGAGATGCAACTGTAGATAAAGTGCCTTGCCCAAGGACACAAGCGATTTGCACAGCGAGAGTTTCGAACCCCCGACCTCGAGGTTGGGAGTCCAAGCCACAACTGATGCGCCAACCACTTCTATAAGTGTACTATGTATAAAACATCTAATGTGTATTTCTTATTTCAATTGTTCTGTAGGTTCGAGGTACTTTGAAAGGTTGGACTAAACTATGGTGTGTTTTGAAACCAGGATTGTTAATCCTATACAAGGGACCAAAGGTATGCGGTTATTAATAGGAATGGTACTATTTGTACATCATTTAACTGCCATAGAAACTATTTTCCTGTTCTAATTTTCAATTTATTAAATAACGCTAGCATAACTAAAAGTGTATCAAATCAGTGATAAGATAGCCTAAAACAGAAATGAAAACAGACAAATGAAAACTACCAAACCAAAATGTAAATACACAAGTTAAATTAAACAAAAGGAAAGGATTAAACTAAATCAGAATAACTAGGTCAATACAGTATGTTTTGGTTCTGGTTCTACTGAAAACTGTTCAAGGCTTTGGAGCAACGATGCTAAAAGCTCTTGTGTACTGCATGGCGAAAGTAGGGTATGAAAAATCAATGATAGTATGAATACAGTAGTTGACCTTACGAAACTAATTAGCAATTATTTTAATGGTGGTAGTTTCATATATCTATATATCAGCTTCCATTAAAGAACATTCTCGGTGCTTTTAAATAAATTTATTAAAAAGGAAACCAGTAAACAGGAAGATATTAAGGTGTGACATTTCCTTTTCAGGTATTACAAACATTAAACAATAGATCCTGAAAATTTGGAGTGTGAGCATATAACTAAACCCTAATTCTGCAATATGAATATTTTAATCTGCTTTTATCATTCTTTTAGCATGGTCAGTGGGTTGGCACTATTTTATTGAACACTTGTGAATTAATAGAACGTCCATCAAAGAAGGATGGATTCTGTTTTAAGCTCTACCATCCATTGGACCAATCTGTTTGGGCCACAAAGGTAAGTGTTAGTAAACTGCTGAATCTAAAACCATTTTGAACATTGATGATCCATTCAGGAATCCTGATCATTACCACTTCAGTGATTCGCAATCAAGTCTTGCTTTTAAGCTTGGCATTATTTGGGGTCCTAGATGTTTCCTTTGATGCTTAGCAACCAGTGACGTTTCCAGATTTGAGAGCTAATTATTTGGGACCCTACAGATGCTCTATAACCAAGTGTCTCTATGAAGTGTGGGCCATTTAGCTTAATCATAAAGTAACAAAAATCATATGATTTGAACCCAAGCTCCTCAGATTGAAAAGTGGGTATCTTAACCATCATACACATCTCAAGAAATGGGACTGTAGCTTGATGGAAAGATTACTTGTTTTCTAATCCATAGTCCTCGGTTAAGGTCATTTGAAAACCAGATTTTGTTTTCTAAAACAGCTCCATTGCTTAGCCTCATGAGTTTATATTCTGTGCAAAAGAATAACTTAGTACTAAACTGGTACCCCAGTATGAGAAGGAAATAGAAGGAATAAAATATATGCTACCAGCAACTATCCAATCATTCCCTTTTAAACTATAAATTTTCAGGGAACATTGCTATGTATGCATTTTTGTTCTGCGTGGTGAATTTATTGATCAGTTTGCGAATGAGCATAATCATTCATTTCATCATATGGCACGACAACCTTTGTAATTAGATTAGAGTCACCATCTCTATTTATAGATTTCTTTGTATATATCTTAGTGTTATTAATTTATTCTTTAATTGTTTATATTAAATATCAATTTTAGTTAATACTGTAAGATCAATATGTCTGTCTAGAAATGCATGTTACTAATGTGAATTAGGAGAATGCATAGCTTGAGTTGTTGACTTAATTACAAGGCAAATTATGTGGGTCATGAGAAACTTGAAATAACCATAACTTATACTTTTTTGGATCATTATAAAAGAACCGTATATTTACCTATTATTGGAGCCAGTGAATTTATTCAATACTTTGAAATAACCATGTTGGATATAACACTGAAAAAACATATAATGTACAAAAATGTAAAAAATATGAATAAAATGGGAAAAATAAACAAAAATTAAAATACAGGAAAACACATTAATTCATATTAAAAAAAGAAAAAAAAAAAACTAATGTCGTACAGGCTCAGATGTTGGTAGAGCAACCATAGAAGTACATATGCTCGCACTTTTTTTCTGGTATTTGAACTTTGCATTGCAGATTGATATATCAAGCAATCACCTACTGTAATTAGACTCCTATAGGAAGGATGTGTATTTATTATGGTATTAATAAGAGAATGAAGCTATGATTGCTCGTTAAACCATATTGTTTTCAAAATGGGAACAGCTGTGCTCTCATTATACATTAATAAATTAATAAAATTTTGCAATATTATATATTTCACAAAGAAAGAATATATGTATGATAAAATTGCTCTCTGTTTTGCTAATCAGGTTCCTATTAGTTTGTTATACATGTTAGAGGCCTATTTTTATGCATTTTTTCATACATACATAGGGGCCTAAAGGTGAATCAATGGGAGCTATAACCATTCCACTGCCTAGCAACTATTTAATTTTCCGGGCACCTTCAGAAGCTGATGGTAAATGTTGGATGGATGCTTTGGAGTTGGCTCTGCGATGCTCTAGTCTACTGATGAAGTCTATGAGAGATAGTGGACAGATTGACGCAAGTCTACTCACCCAGTCTTTTCAACTGGAAACAAATAACCTTGATGAGTCAGAAATTGAGAAGCACTTTGCCAACCAAGGTAAGAATGGGTGTATTCGACTGGTTCATTTCATTGATTTTTCATTGAGTATAATTTTCATTCAACTGGTTCGTAAAATAGAGTGCGTTAATCAGCGTTAAGTTATCCACGTGACCAAAAGAAACATGGCCGATTGGTGAGTTTAGAAACAACATGTGTGTTAATATAACTTAGATTTCAGAAAATAAAAATTGTAATATTTATCCACATGAAGTCAATTGTAGGCTAACAGAATTCAAAAACTGGATGAAAATATTTTTTTTACAAAAAAACCATATTGCCAGAAGCTGAAGCAGTCTTAACTACGCATCGTGTAACTATGCAACCATTTTGTTTTGTTGAGCATCTGCAAGTTTTCTATTTGACTGGTCGTCTTCGTTAAGTATGATTTTACCGCTGCGCAGGTGGGTGTGGTAATGAAGAACGACCACTCAAATATGGCCAATGATAGAGTACTTGTGTATGATGTAAACATGTCTCAAGTTTTACCAAGAGTTGTGTTTAATTGTCATTACCGTAAATGCTTGAATAAGTGCCGCACCAAACCTGATTTTTTTTTGCTAAGTGTCGTTCTCAAATAAGTGCTACGCTGCTTAATCGAGAGTATATATTATCCTGTGTTTAATAAAACACTTCGAGAAACAGGGTTTTAAATATAATAAATAACACAATGAAGACACAAGCATTTCTTTATAAACGTTTTTTTTACGATGATGTAGGACCTATGATAGGCCAACTGAACTACGGAATTACGCGAGATAGGTAACAAGGGAACAGGCATGGAAAGCACCATGCCAATATTTTTCATAAGTGCCGCACACATATACGCAGCTCTCAAATAAGTGCTGCACTGAAGCCTCCAAAAATTTTATAAGTGCCCCAGCGCTAATTTGAACATTTACGGAGTACTATTGTTGAGGTTCCCACTATAAAGCTTTTGTGTGACAAATGTATATAATTTACCCATATATGGGCATGAAGGTGTCACATCCATATATGGTAGATCACATGTATTTTTGTGAACAGAGCTTTAAGTATAGTAGATTAAATTGAGGTTTTGAAATACATTGAAATGTAATTAATGATTATGCGAAGGTACACTTACCTACAGTATAATCGTGATTATACAAATCCTCTTGAGGTAAGAATCAATTCGCGTTTGGCCAGCCACCAAGTAGCTTGGAAACGCGAATTGATTCGAAACCGAGGGAGGACGCAGTATAATGATATCATTATTGCGGATTTCAATCAGGCTGTGCTGGTTGTCATGGTCTAGATATGTTGGTGTATTACTTTCTTATTAGCACATATGGAAGTAAGATGTTATTCTGATTGATTTATCAGTGAAGTTGCAAATATCTCCATGTGACCTATTTTACGTTGCACTAGGCAAGATAGCAACATGATATTTTTTTCGTTGACGAAATCTGACCTACTGTACAACTGTCGAGAAGTGCATCGCACTTCTTAGGAATTAGTTCTCCGTACATTTAGAATCGCACTTTCCTTAGGACTATTTGTGTTTAGAGCTCTGGGGACACTTCGTTTTAGTTGAGAATGTGCTGTAAACTTAGCCGTAGGTGACTGCAGAAACAATTTGAATCTTTATATGCCATGAATTTCTATGTTAACAGTGTTGTACAAAATTCTTGAAAAGCAAGCGTTCACTAAACTTAATTAGCATCAGGTGTCACAGATAATCTTCTGTATGGTTTTATACAAACGCAGTACACCTCCCATGCAATACGTGAAAATATTTAAAAAGCTTTTGAAAAAAAGTATGTGATTGCTACTTTTATGGACTTGAGCAAAGCCTTTAACCTATTTGTTCATAATGTATTACTTAAGTTTGCCTATTATGGAGTATGAGATATCACTCTCAATTTGTTGAAGAGCTATTGAAATTCCCGTAAAAGGAGTATGTATGCCTTAACAGTAGCAGTTCATCCACATTTCAAATGATTGGTGTATCACAGTGCTTCATCTTAGGTGAGACTTTTTTTATACCTTGTTTAGTGAACTCACCGCCCACCAATAATGATCATTTCGAATAAAAATGAAATTTTATTTTTGGCCAATTAGCACAAAAAAATGGAAATTTAACAAAAACATGAAAGTTTTTCTTTATTTTTATTATGCACTCCGCTGCCTTGAAATCTCCAAAAATAAGATATGTATTTTTCTTCCTAATTATATAAATTTAAAGCATTTAACCATCCCAGTGCTACACTCTTTAAATTCACCAATAAAAATTTGTTTTCTCCTCTGTCTGGATGTTTTTGGCAAAACTATTTATTAAATAAGAAAACAAAATTAAATTTTTATTTTTTTCCACCTTCCTCTGGCAATCTTTAATGGAATAAGTTCACAAAACAAGGTATAAAAAAAGTGTCGCCTTAGCACTGTTGTAGTAAAAACTAGTATTCCTAAAATCATAAATGATGAATTAAATTTCAAATGCACTAAACTGCTCCTAAATATTAGACAAGTTATACCATTTTGCACCAGCAAAAGGAAGTTGAAAGCAATTTCCTGAAACTTGCCTGTTGGTAGAACAAAATTTTCTTGGGTATTATGCTATATGTTGCTGAAACAATCATGTTAATTTTATTCCTTGAAAATCTCAAAAGCAATATATTTTTACTTTATTTTATTATTATTATTATTATTTTATTGTTATTATTATTTTCTTATTTTATTTATTTATTTATTTTACTTTATTGTATTTTGCTCTTTATTTTGTATTCATTGTAAAGCGCTAGTGACAACTTCGGTTTAACCGGCGCTATATAAATTTTAAAATTTATCTATCTATATGTACAGAGTAATTTCCTTTCTCGAATCCCCCCTAACTAAACCTTATTACAATAAATTTCATGTTATTTTCAAACATCTCAAATACTTACCATATTATGCTACAGACAAATTGCTATGCCATTCTTTGCTAAACTAGAATTCAACGAGCTAGTTAACTTTATAAATATGGGCAATTCCATGGTAACGGAATTACAAACAAATTATTTTTGACTTATTTTTATAAACCCAGAAGCCTAGGGTGTGTCTTGGTGATATATCAAACAGTGGTATTTGGAAAAAAAAAAAAAAACATTTTGAAAATTTTATTTTGTTAACAGAATTTCTTAGAAATTTTCATATTTTACAACTTTGGTCTTGCATCTTGTATTTTGTTTATAATAATTTGTTCTGTATTTCGTATATATACTTTAGATGTTGTGAAATCAAATATAAATACAAGGTAGAATTCTGTATTTTATCTACAATTGGTATACAGTATTTCATTTGCTTTTGATTGGATATAAAAATATTTTATTATTTTTTAAATATTTAACAAATTCTTGGCTCAAATTATATTTTACACAAGTATGTGGGAGATCCTCTTTAACATTAAAAGCAAACACATGTTCCTGATAACAAAGTACATGTACTGATTATGTGCAAATATTGATATATTAGTCAAACAGAATAACGGTTGCATGCGATGTACTGGATATTAATGCATGCATTCTTTGTGTGTTAGGCTTGGATGAGTCGGATATTGAGAAAGATGAGGAGAAAGATCAAGAAAGCAAGTCGGATTCTGATCTGTCTGAAGAAGAGGACAGTGTTGAGCCGTTAGAAGTTCCTCATAAGGAAACACTCTATGTCCCAAACGAGGTCGAGGAACTCGGCTTGGTGAGTGTTTGCATGATCTGTTATACAGTATGGTGTCAGTGAACTGTTATTTATGATTATCATCTTTATTATAATATTTTAGACTTACATAGCGCTTAATACTAACAAGGCCTCTAAGCACTTCTCTATGGTGTTGTTTATTGGATTGATGATATTTTTATTATGAAAAAAATCATTCATAATTATTGTGTTGAATTGTTATAGTGTAGTCTATTTCTAAATAGGTTCATTCCATTTGAAAATACGTAAAGTTTAATCAAACACAAGATTTGTCTATTATTGCCTACCATTATTCTTTCCCATGTTTTTCCCAAATAGGAGAATACACAATCAGAAACCTTAGGCGAAGAGAACAAAGGTTTAATATGGGGACTAATTAAGCAAGTACGTCCAGGGATGGACCTGTCAAAGGTTGTACTACCAACATTTATACTTGAGCCTAGGTCACTACTTGACAAGCTTTCTGATTTCTACTACCATGCTGATATGTTATCAGAGTAAGTGATGTCTTTTGAAACGATATTGATGAATTTAATTATATAATTTTTGTAACTTCTACTATTTTTGTAATAATAACATAATGTAACATTAAGGAGGTTTGGGTTGCTTGTGAGGCATGGTGAAAGTATGGTGTTAATGGAACAGTAGCGAATGACGATGAAGGGGACAGAGATAATTTTCTGAGTTTAGTGTAGAAATTACCGTATTTCTCTGGAAGGCAAACAGATTTGTTTTTAACAACCTTGTTGGTTGTAATTGTCTTGTCTTTTGCATTATGGTTTCTATTAATCTATTGCACAACTATATTATTAAAATATATGTTTTACAGAGCTGCTGTACAAGAAAATCCTTTTACTAGAATGAAGTCAGTTGTTAAATGGTATCTATCTGGATTTTACAAAAAACCTAAGGTATGAGATATCCAAAACTTATAGTAAAATTATAGTAGAAAGAATGTCAGTTACCCATTTCTGGAAAACAGTCCTCAAATTTAGTTCAATTTAAGAAGGATCTCAAAACTTTCTTAGTTTATAAAGCTTTTTAGCCTGGTTTATTTTTCACTTGCGCCTTTGATAATTTTAGAATAGGCACGGTAAAAATTGCTGATTTATTATTATTTTCTGATTTATTATTTTGTTAATGGAGAAAACTTGATTACTCTTAAACATATGTAATAATAATAATAATTAATTAAATAATATTTATTTGGCAATCATCAAGAACAATTATAGCCTGGAGTGAGAATAGGCAGAAGCCCAAACAGATGCTGCACTCACTCCACCTTATAAATAAAAGAACTGTATACCAATCAAGTTTTGTAATTAAATAAAAACAAAAATAAAAGCAGGAAACTAAAAATTACTAAGAAAATACAATTAACGTACAACTAGTATAATGGAATATAGTACTTAGAGCAGATTTAAAAGATGAGATTGATGAAGAATTTTGAATTACAGGTGGTAATTGTTCCCATAGCCTAGGGAAAGATACAAAAGCATAACTTAGGTATGTATTACTTGTTTACTATCATTTGTTTTCTGCTTGCTCAATTTCAGGGACTGAAGAAACCATACAACCCAATCATAGGAGAAACCTACCGCTGCTTGTGGACTCATCCAAAAACAAACAGCAGGACATTTTACATTGCAGAACAGGTGGGATATTTGATGAACAAGCACCATTTTACCTTTGCTGCAGCAGAAAGTCTGCTCCTTTAATGCCAACTCAGACAGCGTCGTACAACGCAGGCCAATGCGATTCATCGTCGGGGACAGTTTTGAGCCGTCGTGAGAAACATTAAACATGTTTAATATTCTACAACGTGACTGCCCCCGACGCAAACCATCGCGTCTGCGTTTAACTCACGCAGACCTGGCACCACAACAAATCGCGTTGTATGACGCTTTCTGAGTTGGCCTTTAGGAAGGGTGTCCCTTTAATAGGGTTGTCCCTATAATAGGATCATCCTTTAATAGGATTGTCCCTTTAATAGGATCATCCCTTTAATAGGATTGTCCCTTTAATAGGGTTGTCCCTTTAATAGGGTTGTCCCTTTAATAGGGTTGTCCCTTTAATAGGATTATCCCTTTAATAGGATTGTCCCTTTAATAGGGTCATCCCTTTAATAGGGGTGTCCCTTTAATAGGGGTGTCCCTTTAATTGGATTGTCCCTTTAATAGGGTTGTCCCTTTAATAGGGTTGTCCCTTTAATAAGGTTGTCCTTTTAATAGGGTTGTCCGAAAAGAAGTGGTTCTACTGCAGCTATGGGAACATGCAACTATAACAAATAAGATGAGGTAGAAAGCACTTAACAGATTAATTAACCAGAAGCATGTTCTCACTCACTGAACTTTTTTCTTGGGTGAAAGGTTCAGTGAGGAAATGCTTGTGGTTTAATTAAAGTGTATATGTCTGTGAAGTACTCTCTACTTCATCTTTATGTGCTCTGTATTGGCATCGCCACCCAATTTAATGAAACACTATACAAGTATGGGGAAATTTTCCTTTTTATGTTAATACCTCATGCTGTGAATATTAATGTACTGTATAACATCACAACCTGTTAAAAATGTCCAAGTACTGTATGACTACTGTGCTCTACATTGCAGTGTATTACTTCACCTCGATGTACCATTTGTACATACCGCATACATATACCGCAATATTGATACATTGGAATAATAATAATAATTATTATTATTAACAATAATGTTTAACCGTCTTACCACACTAACCAACAGTGACACAGATCCTAGCTGAAAATTTGAATCCCTAAACTGCTTTTTTACCTTTACATGCTGTTTATATTCAGCGTAGATAATATAATATTTTGTTTTGTTTCATTGTGGTTAGTCTGGTACTTCATAATCCTTTATTTTATTGTGTAACTATATTCTGGGCCATGGTAGAAGTGTCCTTGTCACAGCCCTATTAACGCCAATTCTACCACAACTACAATACAGTGACTTTACATTCTATTATTATATATTGTAGACATTGTGAACATACTCTCGTAAGAGCTGCTGGTATTCAAGTTACTATTTCATTAATTGATATTGTAAGAGTATACCATGTATGGGACTTGGGGACTGTGATGTTAATGTATAGTCCTAAAGGAGTTCGACAGGAAGCTGCATCATGTTATGTTTTCTACCCTTGGGGAATCAGATATGTAATATAAAGATTATAAGCAATCCACTATGGAAGAAGGCTGCTTCATGTTGCAATTTCTAGTGTTTAGGAATATATGAAGTAATGTACACCCCATAAGTAATCTGATATTTAAGGAAGCTGTTATAATTTCTAGTGTTATTTTATATTCCATACATTGTAGAACCACATTTTTTCTTGAATTCTTGAATGTTTATTTCCTCATGTCCATTTTCTTTCCTATTCCATCTCAGGTTTCGCATCACCCTCCCATCTCTGTCTTTCACATTTCAAACCGCAAAGATGGCTTTTGCATTAGTGGGGGTATATTGGCCAAGTCCAAGTTCTACGGGAATTCAGTATCAGCACTCATGGATGGGGTCGGAAAACTCACATTCCTAACACGTGGAGAAGACTACCTTATAACAATGCCATATGCTAATTGTAAAGGTCAGTATTTGTTCGCATACAAATTGTGTCTTTTGTAATGTTGCTGTTATGTTCATATGTTTATAGTTCATATGTTTATAATTATATTCAAATAGAAATCATTTTTTAATCCCTTTAAACATTTAACAGTTAAAAAAAAAAACTCTAGTAAATAACTTTTCATGTGTTTACACATGTACACGCAATCTGGCCTCTGAGCCATGAGGTGTATTGTGTTTTTGATGTTACTTTTATAGATAAAGAAAATAAAGGGAAAAAATATATTATCCATAGATTTGATGGACACAAATGTTGTCTAATGTGTGTATTTTTTTGCCTAATGTGCTGATTACTAATGGAGTTGTTATGAAATACTCCCCACAGAGCTGAGTATGTGTTCCCTGGGAATTTGTTTTAGCAACCGACTATCAAATATTACTACTGTCCAATTTAGTTCCCATTGCTGTTTTAGTAATGGATCATTCCATTTTTACATTAGTTTTTTTAAATGACACCATGCTTTGTCCTTTTAATCGATCATTCCCTAGACCCTAGTTATTCTTATTGGCACCATGGCAATGTCTTTAATGGATCATACCATTCTTACCCTAGGTATTCTGTATGGCACCTTGACGATGGAGTATGGGGGTAAAGTATCAATTGAGTGTGAGAAAACTGGCTACAGAGCTGAATTAGATTTCAAATTGAAGGTAAGATAGACTTGCATATAATGATCACCACTGTTGAGTAGCTTAAGGGAATTTCTTATTATGTATGCTTAGCAACTTTGAACTGTGACCCTTCTTGAAAGTTGCCTTACTACCTGCAATGATGTTTTTTTTTTTCAAGTATTAAATGTTTAAATCCAGTCAAAGTAAAAACAATGCAAACAAGAGCAGCAATGAAACTATAACATTGGAAACAATTGTATATATAGGAATTGCTTAAGTGTGCTACAGTCTTTTCAAATATTTCTAATCAATATTTTATTTATATCATCACTTCAGCCTTTTTTTGGTGGATCCTGGAACCAAATCACTGGCAAACTCAAGTTTGGCAAAGACACCCTAGCAACACTAGAGGGACAGTGGGTGAGTACTTTTATTTGGAGACTAACTGTACCCCTTGTCACTTGAGGGCTCACTTCAGAATTTTAGGCTGATTAGTTTTTATGGTGACAGATTATGAAATGCAAGTATCATCTTTGAAAGCAAGATTTTGCTTTGAAGGTTCATTTTGAATTATGATAATTGCACTGCATTATGTAGGGAAATGGCTGGTTATGTTACAATGTCATTAGTTCACACACAAGCTTGCATCTATTGCAGTTGTAATTTGTTTCCATTTTGTATAGGACAGTGCTTCTCAAACTAAATAAATTTGAACGTCACAAGACTTGAGTGTTTTATTGAACTCTAATGTCATATCATGCTAACATTTATGTGACATTAAACAATTTTTACTTCAGGTTTGTGTCCCAGGTTATGACTGAATTTGAGGATCTGTTTTTTAACATCTTGGGAAGTGTGTCGCGGCAAATAATCTGGACATTTGTTTGGGTCATCGGCCAGAAAGTTTGAGAACCATTGGTCTAGGAGCATTGTTATAACAATTTAGGTTTTATACCTTGTAGTTTTAAGCATTTTCATTGACAGTGATTTTATCCTCATTGTATAAACTATGAATAAACCAAATATATATAAAATCTTACTGATTTGGCAGCAATAAACAGCGCTTTAAGGATGCATAGGATACTACATACACATCATGTAAAATTAAACAAGATAAATAAAATTGGTACCATTATCTTAACTTTTTCTGATGCTATTTTTTTGCTTTTTACTCTAATTACCAGGATGAAGAAATATATATGAAAAACAAAAGAACTGGAGTAAGTATGCTGCTACATTTGCATATTAATTAATTTTATCATAATTATTGTGTTAAGGCGAGACTTCTTTTATACCTTGTTTAGCCAACCCGTGGACTGCAAGTATTGATGATTTCGAATAAAAACAAAATTTTATTTTTGGCCAATTAGCGCACCCGCCGCCACAAAAAAGTGGAAATTTCAGAAAAAATAAAAGTTTTTCTTTATTTTTACTACGCCCTCCGCTGCCTTGAAATCGCCAAAGATAAGATATGTATATTTCTTCCTAATTATACAAATTTGAAGCATTTAACCATTCTATTTTACATTCACCAATAAAATTCTATTTTTAATTTCTCCTTCGTCTAGATGATTTAGGCAAAACTATTTGCTAAATAAGAAAACAAAATTTTATTTCTATTTTTATTCCGCCCTCCTCCTATAATCTTTAAAGAAATAAGTATGCAAAACAAGGAATAAAATAAGTCTCGCCTAAGTAACAATAGAATATTGGACGAAAATATAATGTATGCGACAATCTTTACCCAACCTGACATTTTATCACACTGAATACTTGGAATATTTTTATTATCTTAACTATTATTATAGCTATATTTTATTATTATTATTATTATTATTATTATTATTATTGTCGTTGTTGCTATTGTTGTTAATTTTATTTATATTCTACAAATTACTTTAAATACCCTTATTCTTTATATGGTAAATTTTAGGAATCAGAATTATTTTGGGCTGTAACTCAAGAAGTCAGAAGTCAAAGGCTAAACAGGTCAACAGTTGCTCTTAATGAACAGGGTGCTTTTGAATCAGAGAAGTAAGAATTTCTTGTGTTTAAAATTAAAGAGAAAGTTCTCCACAATCCTAGGGCTGCAAATGGCGAAAAATCTTTAAGAAGAAGTAAAAAATAATCATTTTATAAAGGTATCTGGTTTTCAGGCTTAGTGGTTAGTATGGGCTAACATGAGCTTTTCGTTTGGGCCTTGTAAAATAAAGAAAATATTAATCAACAACAGACTTTGGCATCTGTTAGATCATGAGATTTTATTTTAACTCTTAATTATAACAACTTTCATATATACTGCAACTGTATTTATTCTGAACTCAAAGTTCAAAGCTCAAATTCAAACCCTTTCACCTGATTTCTACAGACTATGGACCCATGTAGCAGATGCCATAAAGAAAGGGGATCAAACCCAGGCTACTCATGAGAAATTTCTTCTGGAAGAAGAGCAGAGGAAAGGGCACAAGGAACGCAAGCTTAAGAATCTGGACTGGGTGCCCAAGCTGTTTGAGCTGGATGAAATCACAGGGGATTGGGTGTATAAACACATGGAGTAAGTTGATAGGCTTAAGAGTAACAATTGCGGAAATAATATAAGCAATATTAATCATTTTATTACAAAATTACTGCAAGTACATAAGTCTTATTAGGAGGCTTGTGTTTTTTTTTTTTTTTTGTAGATTTGAACTTATTACTCTTGGATTGGGAGGCAAGAAAACTACTGTATACTTACCCTATATATACAGTGCACCCTCCAATTTGAGAACCCCCTAATTCTGAGACGCCTCTAATTCAAGACCACTTTGTTATTAATTATTATTGTTATTAAATTATAACTATAATTTATTGTTACTATATTTTTGTTAATGTTGTTATTGCTACATTATTATGGTTATTTTTTATATGCTAATTTGAAAATTCAATTTATTATTGAATTCTGCTTCAGTAACCGACCATGGGACCCACAGAATGACATTGAAGAATTTGAACGTGATGGCATTATACAAACACGGACACGGCACAAAACGCCAATTGTGCGTGCCACTAGTATAGTAAGCTTACCGAAGGGGCTACCCAAAAACACAGACTCGTCCGAAAAACAGCTAAGGAAACAGAAGTCAATCAATAGAGCTCGGGACAAGCACAACGAAGGAAGGACGTCACTGAGCCTACGACCTCTACACGACGTGGACCGAGAAAGCGAATGCTCAACCCCTGAACTTGATAGGCAGTCTGTTTCTGAGAATGAAAGTAAGCCGGCCATCACTTGAACATCAAGTATATATTTTGCTCTTCCAACCTTGAAATCATCATCATATGAACGCTATTCATCTTTTGACATCACACGTTTCACCAAATCTCGCCATTCAGCAAGACAGTTTACTTTAGATTAGCCTTGTTTAGAAATTCAGAGAGAAATTCCTTCTCTCTGAATGTTACTTAGACATGTTGTTTTCGATCTCTTAAACACTTCACGTTGAAGAAGTGCTGTAGCAGCTGTGGTTCCCAGCTAGCAATTCAGGGATATTGGGTTCGTCCCTTGCTCAGGTCAATGATTTAACTCCACTTGGTAGAGGAGCACAGTTATTATTGATAGTTTCAAATGATCTAAATGCTCATGGTGATATTACAAATATTCTGTTCCATTAAAAAAAAAATTACATTGATCATCATTAATTGCTGTTCCCTTGTACTATATATTTAAAAAAAAAATGTACATGTATAAGCCTGTTGTATATGTCACACATGTATAAAGCTCTGTCTAATTTTCTTTGCAAAAAAACTGTTGCCATACATTGTCATGATGTGCCTATATATGGTCATGATGTGATGTCATTATGACCATTTTAGGCATGTCGCATTTTTTTGTAAAATAAAATTAGCTAGACTGGACAGGGCTTAACATATGTGGCTCAGTTTTTCTTTCTCTTTTATTGTTGTTTTGACATTATTTACTTGTTTCTTTCACAGATTCACAATCGTTTAAATCTAAGATAGCTGGCCCTGTAGACGCGAGCATGGTTGAGCTCCTCGTGAAGCCTATTGTAGAAGGCAACAAACGACAAGCAGCCGAATTGCAACTCATTAACACCCGACTTGAGGCAATTGCACGCCACATGCACGACCGTCGCCGAGACATCACCGGAGGATTTTCAACCAAAGATTTAGTAATAATCACAGTGCTTCTACTACTCAGTCAGGTGGTTCTAGGCTATTTATTTAAATAATTTATGAAGAGATTGTTAATATATGTACCAATTTAAATTCTCTGGTCTAAGCTTACTAAGAGTACTTATTGGCTTGCCAATGAAATACAAGGTTAATTTAATGATAGGGTAATGTTACAGAGCACAATAATCTTCCAGAAAAAGCTGGCAATAGTGTTGAAGGATAATTGATGTTAGTTTCGATACCACTCAGGACACATTACCCAAGAATACAGTGTGGGCTAGCTTAGCTTGGCTTTGTTAGCTTGGATATAAGTATGAGTCGCTTAGCTAAACTAGCCTGTAGATCATGTTAGCTATGCTAGCTTTGAATTGAAGTCGGTGTAACCAGCTTTGCAAGGGTAACTTGGAAACTTGTTGGACTATGCTTGCTTTGACTCAGTGTAGGCCAGCTTATCAAGGGTAGACTGGATACCTTAGCTAGGCTACCTGATTTGAATCTATAGCTAAAACCTGGTTTCCTTAAAATCGCTACACTGTGGTTGCGATTGGCTGATTGGTCAACTGACCAATCAGCACCACCAAAAGCTGTCAGCGATGTAGCAATTGGAAACCAAGTTTATTATAATAATAATAATATTCTGGCGTAGCATTGTTGACATATTGCCATTGGTTGTTTTGTGTAGGTATCTATAAATAACTTGATGAGTATGCAAGCTTTTGTAGTAGCGCCCCCAATGTACATCTTGATTTTGTTTCAGTTGGTGTAAAAGCCGACACTGTTTATAATACTATTTATAATACAGGAGTACTGCAGTGTTTAGATGTAATCCTCAAATTGTTCAAAAGACGAGTTATTTGTAATCCAATGATATAGCAGGTTAGGTGATGTCCTATATGTGTTGTGACCTATTGCAAAATTCCAGCATAGGCATTTCTATTTAAGTATTAAAAAACTGACAGACAATTTAAGCCTGGCTTTCATAGTCGCTACACAGTTGCTACAGCGTTTTCCCTGCAATCTTTACACTGTGTAGGTGTCCCCGACGATGCAATCAAAACTGCTCCGTGATTCAACTGACCAATCAGCGTCGCAAAAGGAGTCAGCGATAGCATGTAGCTATTTTATGGAAACCAGGCTTTAATCGTCTCAGTTGATACAGGAACTTCATGAATGAATGGAAATAATTTTTTGTTAAGCAGTTCAAGGGTCCCGAGTCTCCCGCAACTTGAGGAGTCTCCTGTAAATCGGGACGGCCTCCCGTACTGCTGATGGGTATCACTATGTGCGGCAAAAAGAAATCAGCTCTCCCGGAAATGACTTCTTCCAACTTGGGACTCCTGAATAGTTTGATTAGACTTATAGATTTATCTCCTTGATAATTGGTGAGCCAAAGAGCCAGCCTTGTGCATAACTAGATCATGGGCCTTTACTTGGAACACTGTGTGGATCATGGGCCTTTACTTGGAACTTTACTTGGAACACTGTGTGGATCATGGGCCTTTACTTGGAACACTGTGTTTCTGCCCAAAGACAAGCAATACAGCCAAGTAGTTGTAGTCAGGATTATCATCAGCTTCCAAACTTGTTATCTTTTTTAGAATTCTTTTGTACATGTATACCTCTTCTAGTAACACTTTCCTATATGCATACTGACATGAATATTCAAATATTCTAATTACTAGCAATTCATGTTCATATATAAATAAGGTTAAAATAGGTTGGATTAATAAATGAAGGTATTTAGAACAAGAAAAAAAATATATAAAAAGTTTGACTGTACATATTTGAGTCTTATTGTTTCCTGTCACCCAGGTCACACATAGGTCAAGGTATTTTTATGCCTAATTCATATTGGATTATCCAATCATTCCACATACTTTGTAAAACTATTTTAATTTTTAACATCAGACGAATATTTATAAGATGAGAAAATAAGATAAGATAATCACTTTCAAATGAATGTATAATAATGCTTACAATATTATGTTTATTAAATTTAATTATTATTGTGCATATTAATATAATTTATGATTCAATCACTGCCACCTCATTTCACGGAAACCATTATCATTTGAAGGTTTGCCTGGCGAAGTAACAATGTGTTAAATGCTTGCGGTACATCACTATCTAACTACAGATTATAATTGTAATCATTATTATTATTAATATAATTGATATAGTTATGATAAAATCATACATTTTGCTGTTTCTATTGCACACTACCTAAAAGTAACAGTGTAGTAGAAAACATATATAGTAATGTATTTCAATTGATTAACATCTTTTTAAAATGTAAAAGTACTCTAAATATTTTATATAATAATTAATGATATTTGTGCAGAAGCCACTTCTTAAAAACAAGTGTAAACTTATTTTCCAATTCAAAATAATTTAAAAATCTACTCATTTTTCAAAAATGCTTTATTATTGAACTATTATTGAATTTAGTAATTTACCATTTTACTAGTTATCACAGGACATCAGTGTACAGCAAGGTGATATTCACCAATTAAAATGAGACTTTGGTCTTAAACATATAACATTTGCTGAAACAAAAAGCTGAAACAAACCAAAACAAATGTATGTACGATACCATTCCTATATTTTTTTTAATGAATCCTTAAATGGGCGAGTAATAAGCTATTGATGATTATCACAATGTAAATACAAACAACAAATCTAAGAAAAACTTTGGTCTTGCCAAAATGGCGAAATGAATCTGGTAAAAGAACTTTTAAATATAGTTCTGTTAAACTTTGGAATAATTTTCCCTCAAATATTCGCAGCACTATACTCACTTTAAAATCTTTCAAAGATTTAATTTAAATTTGCTTCTTTTGTATGAAATTTAAGTTGTTGTTTTTGACCCCAAGGAAGAACAATGTCCCCACATTGATTGGGTATCCAGTAAAAAGAAAGGTTTCTAATTCTAAGCGTTTTTGTATTAAAATATGTCTAAATCAGCAGAATTGTTTCAGTATGTTTCCCATTACAATTGATAACTTACTTAATCCCTGAACAACTTGTTGTTTTAGAATATCAACAATATTCATTAAGCTGGTATGTAATAACCATGTTTGCATAATATATGTATCCATTGATAAACATAAGGCAGTGTATAGGGTATCATATATTATACATTGCCCTATGATGTACATAAAGGTTTATATATGCATCATAATAATGCCTATGGTATACAATGTGTTTGGCAACAATGATGGTACCCAAGCTGTAACATGGATGAGCATGGTAAACTTCCATCATCATTATCTTCTGGTACTGTGCATAATCTAGACTATACTCGCACAAGTATAGTACAGTATTATTATGTTATATCAAAATTTCTATTATTCTGTTCATATTTTGACTGGTTCATTTTATTTTACACCTGAATTGTTTTATACATTAAATATACTTTACATGAAGTTGTTTGTCAAATATCATTTAGTATTTCTCAAAGTTCTAATATTAATATAACACTGTTTATGCATATTTAAAAAAAAAAAAATTGTTTATGCACTTTAGGTGCTTAAGGGCCGATATAATAACTTTTATAACATAATATAATTACTTGCACCTTTTTTTTACGTACGTTTCTTGATAACTAAAAGTAATACAATTTCAAATCTTGAATGTATTCTACTGTATGTCCATATTTAATTGTTGGTGGTTTATGGCAGTGTAGGTATCTTTAATTATATATAACACCCAAGGTATTTGATGCATTATTGCATTATTATTTTGTACCATGGATCCAAGTTAGCTTCGTGGATATAAAATGCAATAACACCACATCCTGAGTATGATGTTTGTATTGCCTTAAAAAGAGTTCAACAGTGTTTATGTTAATGGTTGTTATTGCCTATATGTTACAGAAACAATATTTTCTGCAGGAATAAGTGATGAGAATTGAAAGTTTTACCCTTTGCATTTGCCTATATGAATGTACAATTTATATTTTATGTTGGATATATATATATATAAGAAATTTAACAGTAACAATAAATTATTGTGCAATTGAACATTTCAAATTTGGATGTACTGTGTGTTCATTTTGTTGTATTAATATCTATGTTTATAATAATATAATATAGTAAATTATGCAGTTTACTATAATATATTAATTATGCATTAATCTAGAAAAGCTTGTATAACGCAGCTTGGAAATAGTAAATGAATATTCAAATGAAGGATTTGAATATGCTTTACTTTGTTGAAGGGCTATGCTTGATAGGATTAATAACATCATCATGTTCCTATTGGGCAATGTTATCATTACTGTATTTATATGAAACTTGCCAGTAGGGCAAGTTAGCCCGAATTTTAAGCTCAAAAACTCTAAACACTGATGCTTACTATATGATTATAATGGTTTTGTGGCTCTGTGAGAGTATAATATATAAAAAAGAAAATTAACAAAGCACTAAACAAAATTAGACAAATGACATCCACAAAATAACAAAATGCGGTACACTGTTATAAGAAACACGGTTTGGCATCAATCACAAGTAGAAATTATAAAGTACGCCCTCTTTTAAAAAAACTCAACCAATTGAGAATTGATTATTGATCATCTTTTGTTATCGTTATCTATTTTTCTTCACACGGTACCACGGTTGGTTGGTTGCAGAGAGAAGCAGGCAGAGAGACGTAGGCCTAGTCTTCGTATTTTTATTAATGTCAGGAAGGTAAGTTGTTTTAAACGGTACAGAAACTAGTATCTTTAGTAACTGTGGAAGCATTCTATTATTTCGCTGGCTTTATATCAAATCAGAATTTGTGCAATTACAGTATTTGCATTTCCTAGGCTCGGGGTTGGTGGAAGAAGTGTTCAGGCAGCAGCATCAACCGTTTGACGTGAGAGGCATTTCAGGGGCGTGAGGCTCGGCCGATTTTGAAAAAATACTACAATATTTTGATGTTTTATAAATGGTCTTCTGCAGGCTGAATGTCTATAAAGACTAGCCAGCTAGTATATTACGCTTTATCTAATACTAATCTTGTTGATTCTATGTGGTATAGGCCTAGGCCTAGCTAAATTAATTTTAATTTTTTTTTTAGTAAAGAAGTGTCATTGGGCTTATTCGACTGGTTCATTTCGTTGAGTACGAATTTTCGTTGAGTATTATTTTCGTTCGACTGGTTCGTAAAATGGATTTTGTTGAAAACGAAAATTAACGTTTATAAAATAAACGTTATCCACGTGACCAAGAAAAATATGACCGATTGGTCAGTTTAGCAACAACATTTGTGTTAATATAATTTAGATTAAATTTTAGAAAATAAAAATTATAATAATATTTACTCACATTGAAGTTAAACAATAATTGTAGGCAAACAGAATTCAAAAACTGGATGAAAACATTTTTTTTTACGAAAAACCAATACTGCCACAATCCGAAGCAGCCTTAACTATGCAGCGTGTATCACAGTTAAACTATGCAGCCATTTTGTTTTGTCGAGTATTTAAAAGTTTCTATTCAACTGGTTGTCTTCTTTAAGTAGGATTTTACCACTGCGCAGGTGGGCGTGGTTTAACTAAGAGCGACCCGTCGAATACGGCCATTGACACATGGCTGTGTGTCATGTCAATATTATTCCCATAAGAAAGAGGGTAATGAATGTTGCACTGCAAGCAACCCGGGGGGTCACTTGTATACCCACCTTACTGGGGGTGCAGCAGCCACTCCAAGACATGAGACACTTGCGCTACCTATTTTACTAAAAATTATTAGGGACTTGAACGACCATTTACCAAAGTCTGGTGTCGGTTGAACTACAATTACGGCCATGTAACCTACCAAATTAAACTTGCACTGGTTCCCAATGGCGAATAAGACCGTGATTCTGTCTGTTCGCGATCCCTATTGCTTGTGGCTATGTATCAACAGTAGGTTTAGCGCAGAGGTTAGCAAAAAATCTTCGCTAAAATCGTGTGAAAAATTATCCTACTTTGATACGGGACGGAGCAGGGATTTTAACTATCAATTTTACCTAGGTATTTCCCACACTTGTGCTACCAAGTCTTCGCAAATATACCCTATACATGCTGAAACTCTTCCATAAATTCCCACACTTGTGCTACCAAGTCCTCAAAAATACCCCCGTAAATGCGGCACCTACCCGTATAGAAATATTTAAGAGTGAACCCCCCGGGGCAAGCAAGTTGTAAACAGCAGTTTGTGCATTGACATTGACATTGGCCTGGCCTAGTGCATTTTCTCCCAGCAGTTTGATCATATGTGAATATTTAGCACAATGTAAACAAAATTAAGGGGCCGTTTCAAGTATACTGTGAAGGGGGTTGGGGGTGTGCAAAAATGGACCAACTGGGCTATGACTCAAGAGTTCCAAGAATCCATGGAGGGGTCAAGGGGAAAAACTGACAGGTTATTGTTGTAGGGATCATTAATCAATTTAATACTTGTAATCTGTTAAAATTAACAGTAGGCCTATTGATATTATTACTAGAAAAGAAAATAAAATTAATATTGACTGCAATTTTGACTGTCTTAAAAATGTGGAATTTACAATTTTATTTTAAATTTCTCTCAACTATACGAAAGACAAGAACAGACATATGCAAAGAGACAACAAGAAGAGAGAGGAAAACTAAAAAGGCCCTGGTTTATTGAGTATAGACTTCCAGGCCAAGTAATAATTTATTTTTATGGACCATTGTTGTAGAATACTGTTCATCATTCTAATTTTTTTTTCCGAACAGAATATAAGTATGTGAACACAGAATCTACCAGAATATTTTCGCAGTTTATCAATTTACTTGCCCTTGATCTGGTCATGACATTTGAATGCAGTAACCATGAGCTCTACTTGGAAAGGTAGCTACCTCTGCCCTAGATTGCTAGATTATTTAGTCATAGTTGGTGCCAGACATCCTAGTCGTAATAATGAAGTTGCACAAACACCAGAACTTTTGCGACGATACCCAGCGGAAGATCATCGGGATTTTCGTTTACCCCCAGATGTTATATTTTTTTGCCAACCTGAGGGTTGTCTGACAGTGGGCCAGAAACGAAACAGCTTGCGTGATAATACCTCATTTGTTTTTACTTTAACGGATAAAGATAGTGGTCGTATGCGATATGGAATTTGTCTCAATTTCTATAGACCATTTAGGACATCAGAACGCAAATCAGCCGGTGGGAAACGAGAGAAAATGCTTGCAAACAACCGGCAGAACTCATCAAGTAGTAATGATACATTGAGTCTCCCGCTTTCTGATGACCAGGAGTTGAAACGATCCCCTCGTACCAAACGGCGCATCAAACAATCTAAGAAAGTACGCAACAATTCTCTGACATCGCTATGCATCTTGAGTCATCATCCATTTGTGTCAACGTTTAGAGAATGTCTGTTTATTTTGAAGCGTTTGATTGATGCCTGTCATGACAGGAGCACAAGTCGAAAGCATGGCGGCAAGAGTAATTTAAGGTGAGGCTATGAATTTTTATCGTTTGATCTTTATTAAAACAATTTACTTTTCATGTTTTTCATTATGCTTTTTAAAATGCAAACATGCTTCGTCCTTTGATTGGCTGTAAAATGCCACATACAGTACATTGTAGTAAGAATAATGTTTTCTAAAATATCAGGTTGTAATTATTGGCTGCCTCAATGACAGTATTCAAAATGTTGAATAAATTTTGAACGATACAGTACATAGTATAGGTGCAATTTTGCCCTACCTGACGTGGAAATGTACTGAATACCTAGTAGGTGTGAAAACAATTGCGAAAAAAATCGCACGTTGTTCTCGGGTGGGACTCGAACCCACGATCTCCAGATCACTAGCCTGGCATCATACCTCTAGACCAACGAGCTTGCGCCTGATGGCCAGAGTTGAATTCAAGTCCAAGTGAGCAGCGGGTACTGCAATGTTGATCAACACATCATGGGTTCGAGTCCCACCCGAGAACAACTTGCGATTTTTTTGCAATTGTTTTCACATGTACCAAGTATTCAGTTCATTTCCACATCAGGTAGGGCAAAATTACACCTATACTTGACTTTCCTGACGCAAATCCAGTTATTGTCTATTCCATCACAAGAATTTTAATTACTATCGATACAGTACCTGTTTCTATCAGTTAATAGTACAACTACTCATTACTATCATGATACACTGTACATATTTATATCAATGCATTTATTCATAGCATTCACAAGTTATTTATTATTATAATTAGATCATGTGGAGTTTGTCATAAACATATATTATTTATGCAAACATAAATTTTCTCTTTCAATCCATCTCCAATTACTGTAGCTATAGAGTACATGCACAGTTTCCATTCTTAATGCTATATTTTTGCTTATTCATTCTGTATTTAAAAAAAGAAATTTATATTGCTTGCACTGTACTAGTATGTGTATGATATATTTTTTATATTCAGTGTTGTTTTCTTTTTTAATTAATAATTTTTACATCATAAACCTTGATTCTGGACAGGATTTATTCCCTAGTATTAAAGCAGCAATGTCTTCCCAAACAATTGCCTACTGCACTGTACTGCTATCTCTACATTATAATACACATTTGTGGCATAAACAGTGAATGCATTGGTGAGTCAAAATGCGGTATCCCCAGGCCCCTAATGGAAAGAAGTGTCCAGCGAAAATTTAACAGTTGACAACTATAAGTAATACTGTGCTAAATACACATCGCGTTCAAGCACATTAATTTACATAATTCCTAGCCAAGTTTGTTGTAAATATTGGCACTGTTATTTTAAGTATTTTGTTCTTGTTTTATATTAACTAAATTGGAATAATTACTTGCTCTCATGAAAAAAAAAAAAATTTAATGTGTAATGAGTTTGTTTAGTTACATTAGCCCACGCAATTTCTTACTCAATGTATTTGCCTGGTTAAAACCTAAAATTACAAAAGAAATTGTATATTGTGGTATTTATGCCTGTGGTGGTTTTTCTATCCCCGCAGTAGTAGATCATGATAGATTGAGATAACTGAGTGACACGAATGAAAGAGGATTATTAGATATGGAACCATAGTTTTTTTTATAATAAGTTGGTAGTCCTTTTACTGATTAATGATTGTAGACAAATTAAGGTGAAGAAATAAACTGAATTGTTGATTCTCATTACACAAGAACCCACCATTTTTCCAGTAATAATAATAATAATATTTATTTGGCAAAGTAAAAATATAATCTTGCCAGGAACAAGAAATAAATTACAGTAAATTGCTCTTACTCTATCATCAAAAACAACAGTCTGAAAAACAGAAACATTAAAAAGTGTAACTGATTAAAAATGATTAACTTATAAATTGAACTAAATTAAATTAAAAATCCCAGATTTGAAGTTAACAATTACAATTTGAATAGTAATAATAAGCAATTAGAATAGGTGCGTATCATACACTATTTGGAAATTATTATACGAAGGTTAGATTAATGCCAGGAAACAATATTATAATAATTATACATACTGTACATTGTATACAATAGACTCTCAGCTGTCAACATGAAGCAATATAAATTTTCTGTGCATTATGCCATAGTCTAATACAACTGTCATCTGTTTTGACCCATAACCTTTACACACAGCGTAGCGTGTGTGTATGCTGATGTGTTCTACTTATGCACACACTGTGTACTGTGCCTCATCAAAATACACAATATGCTGATTACTGTAGGTGTACAGTATTGTAGTGGGGATAATAATAACAAATATATAATATGGTTTGACTGTTTATAATTTGTTAGCAATATTCTTCATATTTATGATTAATTATTTTGTTGTGCGAACCCCTTTAGGAGATAGTCTACAACAGATGGTAATATAATATTGTCAAATCATGATTATGCAGTAGTATTTAATTTGGAGCAAATATTGTACTTCCCTTTTCTACCATCATAATGATAGTGTAATCATTTTTTTTTCATTCATGGTTACTAATCAACCATGTTGTATATTTTAATGTAAATTACTGCATTAGTAGTGTTTTGTTATCTCTCAAATTTGAGCAATATGATGTTACATATTAATCCTATTTGACACCATATTGTATATGATAATTCTGTTTCCGGTTCATATACAAGCAATGCTGGTTAATCCAAACAGACAATAGGTTCCATGATATTTGACTCCATAGTATTTGCTAATCCCATTATGTTGTGCTCTATAAATGGTCTTATTATGTTCACACACACCAGCTAACGGTTGCAGGATCCAGATAAATAACATAACACGCTCACCCTTGCGTCCAAGAAATTCCCCTATCCAGATGAAGAAGATGATGGTGGGACCAATGGCCAATAGAAAACTGGAAATTGGAAGTGCGTACAGTATGTGTGATTGGTTAATGATAGCAAGGTAATTCAACAAAAGGACGCACATCCCCACTCTCAAACATAGCGCGTGCGTACAGTACTTTGATCCTTACTGTGGCATCGACAATTCGATACTAGTTGCGAGTACAGATGTCAATTATTAGTCTAATGCATGCCATACGTTTTATGGTGTTACTATTTTGTTAATTTTGGGTACTTCGCAATGTCTGTTATATCTGATTTCTTTTGACCTCAAGCTTGTTAAATGCTTCTATAAACTGCAATTTGACTCATGAAAATTGACCAACAAAATTTATTAAAAGTTATAGCAATTGAAAATTTGCGATTTTTTATAAAATTTCATATTCTTATATAACATTAAACTGTCATTTTGACAATGTTGGACTACAGTAAGGTGCACAAAACGAACATTTGAGTAGATACAGAATATTTATTTATTTTTTCTGTGTAGTGAGTCTCATGAACAACAATACACCACAACATCGGTAAAGTTAATGTTGAAATAAAGAATATAACTTCAGTCTTATGTTAGAGCAAAATATTATCATTAGGTCTTTATAATCACCGCACGACGCACGATAATCATTATTGTGGGTCATTCGTCACACACTGACGGTTAATTACAGAATGTCTTTGCCAGTGTCTTTGATGTCCCGAGATGTGCGTCCTTTTGTTGAATTTCCTTGATGATAGAAACACGCTCAACTTGGTAACCGATAGCGCCTGCTAACCATGAGCGTATTAAGATCCTGGTGACGGTTTAGGACTAACCGATTAGGGGATTCTCACACAGACGCTAACAGATAGTGCTAATGGTTAGGTCTCGACTTTGATACTAGGTCTCTAGTCTATTTGCATCGGACCAAAACCTAACCTATGTTCTGTTCTATTTGGTCTTACTTATGTTCTGTTCTATTTGGTCTTACCTAGGTTGAGTGGCGTGTAATTATTCTTCTTCCTTTTTCTTATTCCCCCCTCCCCCCGAGGCTTCCCTAGTCCCCCCCTTCTAGAAACGCCACTGCTTAGGTACATTAAGCCTCATTAACACTGAATCCGAAAATAAATCAGTGTGTAAGAATAAGGGGCGCTGGCCTTTAGCGCATAAGAAACATGGTCTGAATTTTGGTCCGATGCAGATGCAGCTTTATCTTGGTTTAGATGAAAACATTATCTGTAAGCTCTTACAAATTTAAAGGTGGGTGTTAATAGCATAGAAAAGTGGCTTGTTCATGTATTCCATGAGCCAGAGAATTGATGCTCTGGGCTTACCCAAGAAGTTGGATAACTAGGTACGAGCAAGCAGGGTCTTGACGCAGTACCAATGTTGAGACGGAGGTTGAGGCCTCCCTTGCATTTAGACCACTTGACGCAACCTACATTTTCATAGTAGAATCGGTAGAAGAGACTGATCCGTGCTATAGAGCCATTGAGAGTTAGGTGCCTGATGGTAAGTCTGGGTCCACTAGTTTTCATTCATTCAATAATTTGTGAGTTCAACAGAAAAATGATGCAAAAAATTAAAATACATCTCCAAATATTACATTATACTCCTGGTTGAAATGGTACAAAGGTCAATGTTTCAATAGTTGATTCTTCCAGGATTTAATTTGCATAATTGATGTCTTTGCTCACACTGCGCTACTGTGTTGTGTGCAGTGTACGTGCATGTTATGTTTGCAGATTGATTTCAGGTTTGCCTTTTGCTAAAATCATTACAATTTTTGTGTGACACAATAATATTATTCAACATTGTTATTGTAATTTGTGAATACAGGTTACATGCGATTTTTCCCTTTACTCCATTTTACAGAATAGTACTGTAAACATTGATAATTAATTTTTTTTAGTAACTTTAAATTATAATTTTTGTGTTTGAATTAATAGTTTTGAATATTTTTGTTAGGAATACTTAATATTTGTTATTACACATTGCATACTATCATACTACCAAATGTTATAATGCATCAAAGCCATGGAACCATGAATTATGTAATACTTCCATTGCATTTTTAAATTGCTAGCATTTTTTTATAGTATCTTTTCACTATTGAAGTTCAAAAGTCTTGAAACTCAAAAGTAAGTCACTGTCAAACATTTTTCTTGTAGGCTCTTAGGA